TAGTCTATAAAGATACTCCGAGATGACATCTAAGTGAATTATCTTTCGGTTGCAATCTTGATGAAGGTAGGTAGGCTAGTCACTTGGCTATATCTAGAATGATCCCTTTTCAAATTTGCCAACCGAGACTGGTTTCTTGGTTTTTGTTAAAGATCTAGCGATCCATTAGTAATGTATTCGTAAACTAAAAGCCTGTTGAATTTTTTAGCACGGAATCCAAATAAACTGTTTTTAGGTCTAAAAAGTATTTTATTTTAAAAATGTATAAATTTTAAAAATTGGATACGTCACTTGTCGTTTTAATAGTTAGGTATGATCAAACAAGATTATTTTTTTTTATTTTTTTTAAATTCTTTAAAAATAATAATTTTGGATTATTACATTTAAATTGAATAAAAATATGGTTTGAAAGTCAGTTATACGTGAGAAAAGTTAAAGTATCTCGACGCCATCTAAAATTGGTATTTTAAAAAAAATATGTTATCTCGTTTTGAGAGGTTATGAATATGAATATAATCTTAACCTATGTCTCTCGAATCAAATCATGAATGCAAATTTAATCGAAGAGTTAAATAGATAAATAAATAGCATGCTGGATTAAATTGAAAATGACATAAATTAAATAGGTGGAAGTGTGATAAATTCAAGCGAAAGGGGTTTCATTGAATTAACTAACAAAGTGGGAGGGATAGACATGCAATTTAACCATGACAAAAAAAAATAAATCAAATGAAATAAAAAGAAAAAAAATAAACAAAGCAGAATGGGTCGGGTAGCTCAACGGGTCAGGGTGCAAATTCCTCATGGTCAGGCCCGACCTGACCAGCTACTATAATTAGGGGTGTGCAAATCCGGATACCTGAAGTGTCAGGTACCCATAATTCGGATATCCGGATACCCTTTTTTTTCTTCAAATTATTAATTAAAAAACACACACACAAATTTAAATGTTCGAAATTTCGAATTACATAGTCCAACATCCAAACATAATTAAAAAAAGAGAAAATAACCTCAGTGACCAAAAATCTCAGATAATATACGATTTTGACCAACTTTTTTTGGATTTGCGAAAATGACCAACAAAATCGCAATGCGATCTCTAATTCGCATTGCGATCTCCACTATCGCAAATTCGCGTTGCGATTTTCCACTATCGCAATGCGAAATGCAACGTGAATTTGCGATAGTGGAGATCGCAATGCGAATTAGAGATCGCATTGCGATTTTGTTGGTCATTTTCGCAAATTCAAAAAAAGTTGGTCAAAATCGTATATTATCTAAGATTTTTGGTCACTGAGGTTATTTTCTCTTAAAAAAATGTCATGTTAGCATCATTGTTCATTTTTAAATATGGGTGACCAAAACAGAATCAAAACGTATCATTAGCTATAATTTTGAAAAAAATAAGAATTGAGTGACCAAAACATAAATTAAATAATATATAAATGACCAAATAGGTAGTTAATAATAAAGTGACCAAAACATAAATTAGATAATATATAAGTGACCAAATAGGTAGTTTACCCATAAAAATCCTTAACTCGGGTACCCGAAAAAATTCAATTTTGTGAATCAGACCCGACCCGGGTGGATAATTTTTTTTATAGAAAATTACCTTTTTTTAGGTTCAGGTCGACGAGTCGATGAGTCGGGTTAATTAGATCAGGTATTTTTACACACCCTAAAATAAACATATATAAAAATATCACATCAACAATATTAATTAGGTGACTAATGGTTTCATCTAATAATGAAAATTGATCAAAGTTTGCAAATGATTACAGGAATCAAAACCATTTCCTCCACACACACAAAAATAAAAGTAAAATATTAATATTGAAGGTGTATTTCCTGAAAAATCATCGGTGATCGGTATATTTATCGATCTAACACCAGTCAGATTATATTTTTCAATCTAACACCCGTAGCAGTAAAGCGCGCCCCTATATGCTGATTTGGCATCACTTGGGGTATAGCGCGCCCCCTGTACCGCGCTGTACGCTGACATGGGTTACACGTGTGTATAGCGCGCCTCCTGATCCGCGCTATACGCCACGTAGGGGTATAGCGCGGATCAGGGGTCGCGCTATACGCCACGTAGAGGTAAATTATATTCAACGCGGTCCCTGATCCGTGCTATATCTTTTATCTGAATAATTACATATAGCGCGGTGCAGGTACCGCGCCTTATATGGTTAAAAATACACTTCTCCGTCGGTTAAATTTCTCACATCTCCTTGCATCTCTCCTCTCAACTTATAAATTAATAAAACAATTCCGTCAACGAGTAATAATTCTGGCAATCTTCTCATATTTGATTTAGAAGTTCGTGCGATTTTTTGTTATAAGATTTTTTGTTATAATTTTTTAATTATACTTATTGTTTATTATCATTATTTGAAAAAAAATATTATACTAATTATTTTCAATTAATTTTTATGTTTGTAAAATTGAAAAGCGGGAGCATACGTCGAAATAGTTTTGCAGTGCAGGTAATAATATAAAATTATATTATTTAAATTATTTACGTTGATGTGTAAAAAATTTATTGTGTTATATTTTCGTTCATATATAATTTATTTAATCAGGTTTGTTTCAGTTTTTTTTGCAGATATAATATTGCCGCACTTTTAAACTCAAAGAATGGCGCAACTTTCAGCTATTGTTTATTATGATGGTGAAATTCGAGAAGATGAAATCGGCGTTGTTTTCGTATCAAATGAGCGTGTTAAAATATCATTCAAGAGAAACATAACTCTTAAGGAGCTGATAACGAAGATTTCGAGGAAGATTCATGTTGGAAGTAGTAGAAGAATGTCGCCATTGCAGTACATATTTCCAACATCATTGTTGCCATTAACTTATACAGCGTTCGAACTTTCGAACAATGATGATGTTCAAATGATGGTTGAAGCTCAAAGTAATTATTCAGACGCCGCTATTGAGATGTATGCACATTTTGTTCAAGTACGTACTGTTCGGGGTCAATCATTAAGCTCCCACTATGGGCTGGCTGAACAAATTGATCAAGTTGACAGCCCGACTACAGTAATGTGTAATGATTTTAATACCATAATGGGGAGACATTCATCCGCAACTCCTTACAATATGTATCGAGGTGGGTCCACGAACAATCCGTATGGCAACACAGCGTCCATGTCAAGGGGAAGACATTCATCTGCAAATTTCTTTGACCTTAATATGGAGATGTCATCGACGCAACAATCTGTGCAGTTTCCATTTGACACGATGACTTCAAGCTCCAGGGGGAGGCAATCGATTGTGAGCTTTTTCGATCTTAATGTCGATATGCCTTATAGTTCAAGGGGAAGACATGCAAGTAGTAGGTTCTTCGACCTAAATGTGGAGCGCATGGAGGAACCGTCATCTTCACCAAAAGAACCGCTTCGTGAGCCTGGTGCGAATGGTGCTGAGACCAGACTATTCATTCACCCAGAATCACCGCAATTACGCCTGTAGCAGTAGGAGACATCCGTCGATAGCATTACGCCTGTAGTCAGTGGCTCCACACATCTCTCTGTACAACAAAGCCAAAACTGTCGAGCCTCAACTGAATGATCCGGCGAGACAAAAGTCGCTAAGATGTCGCAACCACATGCAGTGAACTAGGTTGTGCGATTTGTCCGGCATCAGCAACCCTCCCATCAATTGCAATATGCATGCCCGTGCATACATCTTAACCTCATCCTCAGAGGCGTCTGCGCTCAACTCCCGAAAAATGGCATCTAACCAATTTAATAGTATCCTACCTCCGATAAAATTTTCCGGGACACGTCTTAGATTATCCCGACACAAAGTAGTTCATGAACCAGAAGTTATCCCTGATATCACATCTCCATCCACCGGAACCCCAGGTGCATAGTAACATCCTCAAGCGTGATCGTGCACTCTCCGCACGGAAGATGGAATGTGTGGGTCTCCAGCCTCCACCGCTCTACTAAGGCAGAAAAAAAGTACGGTTCTATCTTACAGTGACCTTGATATCTACATATGTAACCAAATCCAACCTCTACTAAATACGGCAAGACACAGCTAGGTATCACTAACTTAAGATTCCTAATAAAAGGATCTAATACACGGTTCTTCTCCTAAAAATAAATAATTATAAAAATTAATTCTTAATCTAATAATCATGCATTAAATAAATCAATTAATTATTACTAATAATTTAAATTAAATTAAAACGTTAAAATGTTACCGTATCAACAAAGTGTCGAGATATATGATTTCCATCCAAGCGAAGTATATTGCCTTCCATTATATATCTGCAAAAGAATTATATTTGTAAAATATTAAATAAAGTAAAATACTTAAATAAATTAAATATATAATATTAAAAATATTATAAAATATACCTTAAACATAGAGAGTATTTGAGAGAAATTGAGAGAAATTGAGAGAATTTGGTGTGATGTAAGTGATTGAGGATGAGAGTATTTATAGGGAGGATTGGAGTGTGAACGGGTGGGTAATTAAAGGTATAGCGCGCCCCCTGTACCGCGCTATACCCCACGTGTCAGATAACCAGGTATAGCGCGGCCCCTGATCCGCGTTATACCCTTACGTGGCGTATAGCGCGAATCAGGGGCCGCGCTATATTCTCGTATAACCTATATCAGCGTATAACGCGGGGCAGGGGGCGTGTTATACCCCACGTGACGCCAAATCAGCATATAACGCGGGGCATGGGGCGCGTTTTACTGCTACAGGTGTTAGATCAAAAAATATAATCTGATCGGTATTATATCGATAAATATATCGATCACCAATGATTTTTCAAGAAAAACGCCAATATTAAATTAATAAAAAAGAAATGAAAGATAAAAGTCTGATTCTATGAAGAATCTCCAAATCTAAATGAAAAAAACTTAGAAAGCCGACTGTAAAAATGAGGAAATGGGAGAGGCAGAGCTTTGGGTCAAAATCATTGAAACATAGAGGAAGTACCAACACTTGTATGAATCACACTGCTTCTGCAAGAGCTTTGGGTCAAAATCATTGAAACATAGAGGAGGTACGATACTTGAACAAAAAAGAAAGAAATTTGGATACTTTAATAAAAAAATACCCCTAATTGGAATAGCTTGGCTTTAGGTGAAAAATACAGAAATTCTTTCCTCTCTGCTTTAGTTTGTTGACCATAATGACTTAATACTCCCAGTTTCTATGTTTTCCCTCTCGCCATTGGCCATTTTGCTCTGCAGATCTTTACTTTTCTTTCTTAGCATCTAAGCTGCATCTCGATGCCAAAACCAAGATCAACGTCAAAGGTACTCACTTGCTTGATTTGTTAAGTTTTTTGTTTTTTTGTTCTGAATTTCTTTACTTCTTATGAAGTTTCATTCAAGGATTTAGAACGTAAACATTTGAATTTATCTGTTGTGCTAGAACGTAAACATTCTAAGGTACCAAATAGGTAATTTATCAGTGAAAATATCTGTCCACAGCAAAGGTTTAATGCATTGAATCAAGTATTTTAGTTTCACATCGTACAAGTGATGATGATATAGCTATACAAGTTTCCCGATCGAGGGAAAATCAGCTTTTTTGGCTCGAGAAATGGCAGTAAAATCACACACCAGTTTTCAATAAAAGAAAAAACATCCAAACATCGCATCAAACGTCATAAACTCACAGTAAAGATACCCACACAATCTTGCTCTTCTCAGGCAGGGTTCCCTTGGCTCTCTGTGTGCTGGAACTCCATCTAAAGAAGAGAAAGAGATTCAATGGGTCAAATAATATCTTTCATTCGAAAATGTTTGTTGGGTCTATTTTTCAAATCCATTGGAAGATGTTGGAGTCGTCAAAGCGAGGAGATATCAGATGATTTAGAGGACCCAAACGAAGAGTATTCTTTGTATACTTCCAGTGACAGTGACAGTGACAGTGACAGTGACAAAGGTTCTAGCTTTAGATTCCATCAAAACGTGGGCAGTATTTGCATTGATCTTGTGGAAGAGAACAAGCATGATTCTATTCCTGCAGCATGTGTTTTGAACGTGGAGAATTTGGAAGAAAGACAATTAGTTCGAGCCCCCGAAAGATGGATACGCCATTATTGCAGTTCTCAAAGGATGTTGCTGGTGGGCGAAGGCGATTTTTCTTTCTCTGCTTGTTTGGCTCGTTGTTTTGGTTCTGCAACAAACGTGGTAGCCACTTCTCTCGACTCTAGAGGTAACAACTGGGATTTTTTTAATATGAAGTAATAAGACTCATGTTTGAAGCTGGAGATGTATGGATTTTGCAGAATTCTTGTTCAGAAATTATAAGAAGGCAAAGGCAAATATCCATGAACTAAGGACCAGAGGGTGCATGGTTTTGCACGGTGTAGACGCAACCGAAATGGCGAACCATTGCTACCTTGGAGCCATTAAATTCGATCGAATCATTTACAACTTCCCTCACGCTGGTTTTTGTTCAGACGAACCAGTCGAATCCCAGAAACGGTAAGGCAAAAAAAAACTTCACTTTTGCACAAACTTCTATATAAAAATCTCAACTTTTTTTTTATTTTCCTTTTTCAGTCGGCATCAGTTGCTGATGAACTGTTTTTTCAAGAACGCCAAGGAGATGATTAACGAGAGTGGCGAAATCCATGTGACCCACAAATCAAATGGGTTCTTTCTGGACTGGAATTTGCGAGGGCTGGCGGCCGCCGTGGGGCTGAGGCTTATACAAGAGGTGCCATTCAATTTGACCGATTTCCCAGGGTACCGCACCAAGTATGGATTCGGTGGTGACAAAAATTTCTACTGTCATCCTAGCAAAACTTATATATTTGGTTTATTTCCATCTATATCGCCATGAAAGTCTTCTGTACTGTAATGAATGATAGTAACTTGTATTTGCTTTGTTCATCGCAAGTAGTCTTCAGTTTCATGTTCTCAAGTAATATTTACCATGAAAACATTCCGTTCAAGCTAAATATCATGAAATGAAGTTGCTTATTGTAACGCTCAACGGCGTCCAAACAATATCAGTTTAAAGATTTAACCAGTAGCCTTCAAACCCAAAATCTTTCAAGTACAACACTCATCAATATTGGGATCCAAATGAGCAAATGTTTCATTCGCAAGCAGATGAGGAAAAATGTACTTTTCATTCACCAAAACTATCATAAGGGATTTTGGAAGACGTCGGTTTTATATTTACTTGTTAGATGTTTGATTCTCATCTCCTACGACCTTCTTTTCATCTCCTTCAACTGCATCTCCATTTGAGCAATGATTCTTCAAAAGTGTAGATATGTTGGCTTCGGAAGCACTGGCAAGCTTGAAGTTTTCGATGGCGGTATCGAGATTCTTTTTCCAACCATCCATTCCTAATTTGCATTCAACTTTAAATCGCTCAAAGAGCATGTTGCCCCAGAAAAGATGTATTTGTGATCTCATCACCGCTGCTTGTTCAGCTACTTCCTCAGCCAAAAGTTCACCCTGATTTCCGGTTCCCGGGATCTCATTTTCAGCAGCGCTCCCGGGTTTCTTCCTTCTCTTTGACAACTCTTCCTTCTTACTTGAATTTGGATCTGTCAACTCATCAAATCTCTGCTGCTCCAACTTCTCCCACATTTCTGTTGCGTGTTTCATCTTCTCCTCCGCAGTGTCAAAAAGTTGAAATGTTTCTGCAGGATCCCAGGTCGAGAGGTCTATTTTTTTTCGTAAGTGCGAAAGACCAAATAAATTTGGCCATTTCGAATTGCTGCTGTCCCAATGCCAGCATCCCTTCGTAAAAGTCAGGTTTAATTAAGATTGCTTCAGCATACTTCTCTTTGGCCAAAGAATACTTTTCCCGAACCCAATCGTAAGCCATTTGAAGTTTTTCCAACACTAACTCCTTCCCTGCAGACTCATCTAACAGAATTCGTTTCCTTGCGGCACACATGAACATTTCCCCAGTTAAAGAAATCCAATGCAGCCACCTCTTGGAACTTCGCAGCAGCTTTATCAAAGAGGATTTGAGCTTCCTGCTCGTAACTTTCTCCTCGAGAGCCTCTGAGCAGTGCTCCATTCTAAGCTCATGAAAATCAATATGAGCATCAGGATCGTTACCAACATGGTTGCGGAAAAGCTGAGCAAACTCAAACAGCCAATCATCCATCTCCACTTCCTTGCACTCTGGATCTTCGGAAGCCACCGTTGTTTTTCCCTTTGAAGCTTCTTTCTCTGTCTTCTCAATATCCGTATCAACACCTTCCAAAACAGATTCACCAAGGGATGAGTGCGCCAAACTTTCATCCGACTTAGCTACCTGGCTCTCCAAAGGCTTCTCATCCTCTTCTTCTGGTAACGGTGGCTCCTGCTCCGGACTCACGTCAACGACGTGCAATCTCAACATCCCAAATCCACCGGCTTTATCTGCTTCAGACTCTATTGGAACAAGATAATCTACGGAAGACTCGGCCAATCTGAGTTCTGTCGTGCATGTAATAGTCACCAAATCTCCATCATTATCCTTATATTTGATCAAAACTGACTTGGATGAAGGAAAATGTTTGCTCACAATCTCTCTCAACACTTTGAAGCCGCAATTAACTGGCATTTGGGAAAGCCTTGTGTCATGATCATAAACAAGTTTCAATGGCCTCCATTGAATTGCCACCTCTGGTACCTGCCCACACACAGAAGTATCAAAAGACTGTTCTCTATGGCCATTGTTATTCAGATTATCAGTTGCTTTCGAAGAACCACTAGAAGGCTTCAGAACAAGTTTTGGAAACTCAGTCTTGTTCCTAGAACCAGTTTGAGCTTCTGCTACGCTATTTTGGTGCTTATCTGGCTTATTGCTTGGTGATACCGATGTCTTCTTAGGCACTGGCCAAGCTGGTAAGCTAGGGCCAAGGCCAGCAACAGGGACACCACGAACAGCAGAAGCCCCAAGCGCAGCCGGGGAGGGTCGACTCTGGAGGTCCTGCTTAGCCTCCAGGCAAGGACCCAATGCAGTCCTTAATCTGCTAGCAATCTCCAAAGCATCCTTGTTGTCATAACCATTTTTTTCGTAAAACAATTAAATATTATTTTAAAAACGATTACGACTTTATTTTGGAAAAATTGGTGATTTGTAATTAATTTGAATTAAATTGAATAGAGTCGCCATCGACCTTTGGGTTAGGTAGGCCGAATACCTAAAAACGTCTTTTAAAACAATTTTAAGAAAGATCATTTTTAAGACAAAAATAGTCTGCGTTTACCAAAGATTCAATTAAAATGGATTCGGGAGTCGGTTACGTGTGGGGAAGGATAAACACCCCCACAACGCCCAAAATTGGTACTGTGTCGCTTACACATCGTCGTAAATGGTGGAAATTACAATTTGAATATGAATTAAAAAAAATGATCCATTTATTGAATATTAGTTAAAATAATAGAAATACTTCACTTGGTAAGAAATCTCGAGATTTGCAATCCTCCAACGGGAAAGCTATCTCATCTATTTCTCATCTATAAAGTATATCCTATCTTTGAATTACCACTAAATAATATCATCATGAGTAAAAAATAAAATATGCTTAATTTATGTATCGTTAATATCAACATAACAACCATTAATACAATAAAAATTATGAAAATAGAATAATAAATAAATTATGATCTATTTATTGAATATTAGTTATAAATAAATAAAAAAAATCCTTTTCTCGATAAGAAATCCCGAGATTTGCAATCCTCCGCCGGGAAAGCTACCTCGTCTATTTCTTACTTGTAAAGAATATTTTCTCTTTAAAAAAAAAATGACGAAAATTGACATAATGCATCACACTATACTTTTCCAAAGCATACATCACTCATATTAAGATTCAATGAAGAAATAATAATAAAGATTAAAATTTAAATATTAAACAATATGAACATCAAATAAATTAACAAAAAATAAAATAACAATAAAAATAATTTCTATAAGCTTGTAAAAGGAAGAATTTGCATTTTTTATTCTGTTCGAACGTCGTATCGGATTGTACCACTTCGATCAAGTGATACTTTCCACGCCCGTTCTATAAATATGTGTTCTTGAAATTATTCGAATAATATACAATAGAGAAATACAATGGGAATAAATATAAATAAAATATGCGACATAGAATCTTTACATTAAATGAAACAAACAACATTATTTACATAATACAAATAACCAAATAACAAAATCATATAAAACTGACTACAATAAAAATAAGTAAATATTACAAATTAAGATAAAATGATCAAAAGCAAGTAAAAAGGACTAGAATAACAAACACATAAACTCAAAGAGCCAAAATGGTAAAATCAGGAACTTAAAGGACTACAATGAAAGAAACAGAAAATAAAAATTAAAATAGCAATTTCAGATAAATCAGAGTCCATACTAAAAAATACTAAATAGCATATGTACTAAGCTAAAAATAAACCATAAATCATGTACAGGACTAAAATGAAAAAAAAACAGGAACATAAGGATTCAACAGCAGTTAAACCAATTTCCACATGATGATTAAATTACAACACTTATAAATGCCGTGACCAAAATCAAATGTTAATAGAAATGTCATAACAAACAATAACAGTACTAAGTTATAAGTTCTGAAAACTTATTGCTCGAAATCAAAGAAATTATCATTTCATTTAATGGTCTAACAATATGATTACAAGACCCTAGGGACTAAAAGTGTAGTTAACCCACACGAGGAAAATGCAGAACCCTTCTTTCTAAAACACGGCCGTTTCACAGGGGGCATTAAAGCCCTAAAACGAGATTGGCCCTCATTCCCTCATCTCTACTTCTTCCCTTCTTAAAACAGAGAGCCAAAGAATGCTCTCAAAGTTCTCCCTCTCCGCCTCTGTCTCCGCCGTGGAGAGAAAAAAAAGGGCCACGGCCGCCGCAGCCAGCGGCGATGGCTTGAGAGATCAAACCACGACCAACCCTCCTCTCTTCCTTTGAACAAATAACCTTTCTCCTACCCCAAGCAAAAAAACCGAAAACCCCTATCCGAAAACCCTAGATCCAAAATAAGGGACAGTTTACCTTCAATACGGCCTTCTCTGTTCTGGCTAGGCTACAACGACGAGGTTTTCTACAAGGGTAAGATCTCCTTCACTTTGTTTTTTTTTTTTAGCCCTCCCTCTCTTTTTCTGGTTATCACCGCCCTCTTTTCTCTTCTTTTTGTCTTTTATCTTTTCTTGCATGTGGATTTCCCTTGAGATCATGATGATATCTAGGTAGATAGCCTTTGATTTCTCTGATTTAGGTGAATAAAATCCCGATTTTTCGGGATTTTCGGGTGTTATTTTAATGGGTTTTTAGATTTGGTAAGTTTAGGCCACTATTCTTTGATTTGGTTACTGTTTTTACAGGGACCGGTCACTGTTTGATGGATGGATTCTTCACAGCTCCGATGACAGCGGCGGTGAGGGAAGCAGCCAGCTTGACCGGCTGGGCAAATGAAGGTCCAACGGCTGTGGCGGCTGAGGCAGAGAAGGGTCACACGGCGGCTGGAAGGGGATTAGGGTTGAAACCCTAAATTGATTTAGGGTTTGAAACCCTAAATTGATTTAGGGTTTGAAACCCTAAACTGATTTAGGGTTTGAAACCCTAAACTGATTTAGGGTTTGAAACCCTAAACTGATTTAGGGTTTGAAACCCTAATCTGATGGGTTATTGGGGACCGGGATTGGGCCAATGTAATCTGAATTGGGCTTAGGGTCTCTGGGCCAAATGGGCTTCGGGTTGTTGGGCCTCTGTAATCTGAATTGGGCTTAGGGATTAGGCCTGCAAAAATTGTAATAATAAATAATAATAAAATAATAATATAATGATAATAATAATAATAATAATAATAAA